AATTTTTCAACTGTTGCTCTGCCATTCTACTCAAGACTCTAAAACCATGAATTGACATGTCAGCAATAGTGGTGGGAGGAAATAATTGCCACATCAGCATTTTAACTTGCTATGGCAAGTTTCATGGTGGTCAACCAGCTAGGCTAGTTTTGAAAAACATTTAAATTGATTTCACTGTCATAATGCCACTATTAAAAAAATGATGGTGACGGTGACATGTACTAAGGCAACGTTACTTCAAATTGCTGATGTGGCCATCACAATTTGACTGTGATAGTCACAAGTGTAGTGTCTATTAAGCAAACCTAAAATATAGTTGAAGAAATACTCAAAACTGAAGCTATAAAAAATAGGTATTGTGGAAAAATAAAGAATATAAAAATATGATATGTGTGCAAATAGGTCATACACCTTGTGAAAGAATCATTTGCATGTCTGGAAACCATAATCTAATGTGACCATCATCTTCTATTTATGCAATCAGCTGTTTGGTGTTCGTTTGCAAATAGCCTACAGAAAAAAATTCTATTAAAATAAATATTTGAATTGTAAAGAATACTTGAGGAATGCATAAAAAATATGATCTTATATAACACTTTTTCTCCATCTAGCATGTCATAGAGGACAAAGTAGCAATCTATTTAAATTATAACTCAATGTAGATTGAAATAACAACTAATTATCCTTGTCTCAAAAGGCAATACCAATCCTGTATTTGGAATGATGCTAGACTGAAAGATTAAAGGGAACTGAAGAGTTGAGTCTAGTATTCCTAAGAGTTTAAGAATGATTAAGATTGTACTCCAACATGATAGTTTTGAAAATTTTCATATACTTATATGCCATGATATTGGAAGAGAAGGGAATAGTTGGTCACAAAACATTTTACAAAGTGCTAGTTGTCATTGAAGAAGCAATATTCCCTTATACTTGCTTTATAATTATTTGTGACAACAACATTATATGTAAAACTCCACCCTGCAGAATAGAAAGAAAGTTTTTGAAGGGATAGGAAATGGCACTTGTAATCTTTCTTATTTCCAAATGGGAGCTAGAACATAGATTTGGATGCCTTGAGAGGCGCACTCTGCTTGCGCCATGTCAAACTTCTCATCATCAAATTACTTAACTATCCTTCATTATGCATCCCTATATATCCCTATACTAATTCCTAAAGCTCTCCAAGGATTTGGTTCTTGACAGGTATGGCATTGACTTTGCGGAAGATTTGATAAATTTCCTTGTAAAATCACCTTGCATACATGCTTTGCAAAGAGCAATCCATTCAACATAGATCAAGCCCATCATAAAAGTGGGCCAATTGTCTTTAAATTTAATTCTCTGTATCAACATCCAATGGAGCCTTCGTAAATATCAAGAATGGGCTGAGGCCCAGCGGAGAGGATACCATATGGAACACAGAGAGGAGAACATATGAAGCATGTCGGGAGGCAACGGGGGAGATAGGATACAAGGAAGGCAATGGGAATGAGGTATCAATGAGCCCATCTCCACCTGCGCCTCAAACGCAAGCATTTCACACCACTACTTCCAACTTTCAACAGGAGCTCATGATAGACTCTCACCGGCATGGTCTTGAGAATCCGGATTGCCATGCCTAGCATGGCACTGATGTGGAGCAGGAGGAGCGCAGTGCTGCTGCTCAAATTCACAACAGCAGCATTGGATCTTGTGTTGCTGGCTATAGCAAACCCACTGCACTTAACATTCCAGATAGATTTTTGAAGACTCTCCTATGCCCAATCTCTGTGCGTCCCGCTCTCCATCCATGGGGGATGGGGCGGCTCACGGAATGGCTGGATATCAACGATTGATGTTTGGGTCAACACATCAAGTCTGAACTGCTCTGAAGATGTTCTCCAGCATCACATAAGGCAATGCATCACTCACAAGGCTGGACTGGCACGTAAATTCTGCAGCATGCATCCCTCGATTCATCTCCCTGTGGTTTTTGCACGCGGTAAGAAACGTTGCCCATGCAACTCCTTCTGCTGGCAAAGGCATATTCTCCAGGACATCCTCGGCCTCTTTCAATCGCCCTAGTCATCCGAGAGCATCAACAATGCAGGTGTAGTGGTCTTGCGAAGGATCCAATCCATTGTCAAAGCTCATTGCCATGAAGTAGCTTACTGCTTCCTTGATGAGCCCCAGATAGCTACATGCCATCAAAACAATGGCAAATGCTGCCTTGTCAGGGCCAAAGCCGTGAAGAAACGTCGCCCAGAAGAGCTGGATCGCTGCCCGGTCTGGGCATATGCTGCAAGAATCGTGTTCCAGGAGACCAAGTTCCAAGTTGGCATCTCATCGAACGCTTTCTTAGCATCACAAATATTTCCATCTAGAGCATATACCACTAGAATTGTGTTCCATGAATAGGAATCCCAGCAGCAAACCAAAGAAAACGCCTGGAAACGACCTCTCTGGGCATAAACAGCAATTATCGCATTCCATGAAACAAGATCTCTGTGTGGCATTTCTTCAAACAAGTGTTTTCCTTGATCAGCATCACCGTTTTGCGTGTATAACTTGATCATAATCGTCCACGACAGTATGTTGTGTTGAGGCATTCTATTAAACAAACTCTTGGCTGCAAATAAGAAACCATTAGTGTCTACAATAGATGAGTTTGAGGTTGCTTTCCATTTACGTTTTGCTCCTCACTATAACGTGGAGAATGCTCACACCAAACTTCGACATTTTCAGCAAGGGAAAATGAAGATTGGGGACTATATTGATAAGCTAACTCGCTTGATTAGCTATGTTCCAATGAAGGATCCAAATCAGAACAACATCCTACTTCATTGATGGCTGTCATAGTGAGAGTATGCGGCAACACTTGCGTCATTCTCAATGTACAAAGAGTTTGGAGGACTTCCAACCCTTCTACATAAGTATCGAAATGCCGAGTAAAGGTATATGAAAGAACTTCTTGTGTCACCAGGCCATGCTCCTCAACAAACTTTGTGGAAACAAAGTTGTTATCACTTCCACTGTCCAATAAAATTCACATTGGACTGCCACGGAACACACCCTCTAGCAAGCTGATGCACAAATGTCCTCGACCTTCATCTTGTTCCACACATAGTTAAATTGATGAGCAACAATCGAAAGCCTCTTCCTCCAACCGGAATGGTCATCCTCATCATCTTTGTGCTGCAAAGTTTGCAACTTCTTAGTATCTGACTTACCGTTAGTAAAAGATTGGCCATTCTTGTTGCCATGTTATTTGCTCTTCACTGTGGATAATCAGCCTTGTAGTGTCCTAGCTCGTGGCAATGATGACAACCTTGTCTATAATTCTTCATAAAGAATTTCTGCTTTGTTGACCCCTGTGTACTTGAAGTAGCCACCATAGGCTTCAGCTTGTGACGTTTATTCCCATCCTTGTGTCCACAACAATCATCACGATGATTCTCAATAGAAAGATTCCTCGAACGCTTGTGAGACTTATACTTATCATTATCAAGTCGACGAGCAGCATCAAAGAGCTGTTTGTTAGCAAAACTGCACTTGTGGAGACTTTTTATCTCACAGATCTTCATTGTGTGGATCTCATTCTTGGGATATCATAGTTGGTAAAGGTGGATCCGGAGATAAAGTGGAGTATTAAGCGTGTTTTGTTGGAGTACGGTGGCATTAATGATGTGTGGTTTGGAGAGGGAGTTCAACCTCCAATTTTTATGCTCTCCGTTACATCTTTGAAGCGGGCTTGTCATAATGGAAAAGCACTTTTGAGTTACTTACTATTTGTTCATGACTTGGGGGACCAAGCCATGTGTGGAGGAGAGGTAGTAGTGCAGACTATACTCAAAGAGTTCTTTGATGTTTTTCCCTCTAAAATTCCTCATGGATTGCCTCCATTACAAGGTGTGGAGCATGGGATTATGTTAGAGCCAAGGACATAGCCAATTTACCAATGTCTATTTCAGCAAAAATATGGAAGAGCATAAAGTGCATTTATGCAAGGTTCTTTTGTTACTCCATAACAGAAAACTTTATGTGAAGAAGAGCAAATATGAGTTTGCAAAGTCGGAAGTGAAATATCTAGGCCATATTATGACATCCAAAGAAGGTGGGTCAAGATGGGTCCAAGGAAGGTGGCTGTGGTGGAGAACTAACTTACACTAACTTCAGTGGCTAAGTTACGTAATTTCCTTGGTATGGCTAGTTACTATCGACATTTTCAACATAAGTTTGCAGAGGTGGTTATTTCTTTGGCATGATTGTTGCACAAGAACGTGCCATTCAAGTGGAAAAAACCACATGAGGATAGTTTTGTGGCATTGAAACAGTTGTTAAGCGACGCTCCAATGCTTCACATTGTTGATCCATCAAAACCTTATGAGGTGATATGTGATGCGAGTAGTTATGCACTGGGAGGAGTTCTCATGCAAAAGGGACAACCTATTGCATATGAGAGTCGAACTTTGAATCCCGCAAAGCAATACTATTCCATATATGAGCAAGAGTTACTCTCCATTGTTCACGCTTTACGGATATAGCAACACTATCTTTATGGTGCAGTGTTCACGGTGTTGACGGATCACAAACCCTTTGTATATCTTTTCACACAGAAGAAGTTGAACACTAGATAAGCTCATTGGATGGTCAAACATATGGAATTTAGAGAGTTTCTTATTGAGCATCATTCGGGAAAATTGAATGTGGTGGCGAATGCTTTATCTCGTGTGCATATGATGGTGTTACAGACACAGTTTTGTCATTATTTGAGTAAGGTGGTTAGCAAGTTTGGGCAGTTGGTTGAGCGTGCTCAGGCTCAGGATGCTGAGGTGGTCTCAATGCAAGCTCAGATGGAAGCACCTTTCTCATTAGTGGATGGGATTCTTTACTACAATGGCTATATGTATTTACCACAGGTGGATGTGTTAATTACTCAGGTTTTATTCCACTATCATGATCATCCAAAGGCTGTCATTTTGGGGGGAAGAAGATATATGAGTTGATTAAGCACAATTTCTATTGGAGGAATATGAAGGCTGATATCCTTGAGTACTATAAGTCATGTGAGCTCTGTCAGCGAAGGTAAAGGTGTGACGGGAGAAGCTGGGGGACTTTTTCAACCTTTACCTATTCCTCAGAGCCGTTGGTGTAGTATCTCTATGGACTTCATCACTTATTTGTCATGAACATAAACGCAAAAGGAGCCAATATGGGTCATAATGGATCGTTTGACGAAATATATGCGATTGTTGGCTCTTCGGAAGAGTGTCACTGCCTTAGACTTGGTTGCGGTCTACTTGGAGAAGGTTTTCCTGATTTTGGTTTGCCAGAGGACATCGTTAACAATCGAGATTCAAAGTTCACTAGTGGATTTTGGAAGAGCTTTACAAAGGCTATGCAAGTGACTTTGAAACTCTCGAGTGGAGATCATCCTCAAACAAATGGGCAAACCGAACGTGTGAATCATGGGGTGGACAATATGCTACGCTATAGCATTAGTCAAAGGCAAGGACAGTGGGATCTATATCTTTCATTGGTGCAATTTGCCTACAACAATAGCTAACACAGTAGAACCAAGTGAAATCCTTACTTTGCCATGTTTGGAAGGCATCCTCAAATAGCAATGGAGTTGAAATTACATTTAAGTAAGGATGTTCAAGAAAATTTTCATTCAGAGGTGACTGATGTAGCCATGGAACTTGATGAGATTCTGGTGGTGTGCAAATGGAATTTGCAAGCAGCTTAGGATAGAGCGGAGAAGTTTGCTATTGCTAATTCCGGGAATATAAGGTGGGTGATCTTGTCTTTGTGTGAGTGATTTTTCCGTCAAGTGAGCAGTGAAACACTTTAGTGCCTTTACGGAATGGGAAGAGTGATAAACTTTCTAAGAAAATTCATTCAGTATCTTATGTTAGCCAATTGAAAAGTATACTTTCTCGGAGTGATGGGCCCAATGCCTCCTTAATGTATACAGCTGTGGAAGATGGATCAAAAGCTTGAGCAGGGTTCCTTAGAAAGGGTGATCACTAGTACAATTCATCCTTGGGACAAGGACTTTGTTGGGGGGAAGAATTGTTAAGCGCCAGCTTTGGTTAATATCAGTTAAAGGGAGGCTCAAGGGTTTATGAAGGCATGTTAAGGGGTGGTTGGGCATTTAAAAGGAGGCATAATCTAGTTTAGGAAGATTAGATCATTGACTTTTTGTGCCGTGTCATAATGTGAAGAATGTCATGGATGGGGACATAACACTGGAACTTGTGCCAAATGTCAATAATATCATAAAAAAATTCTTATTCTCTTTCGACATTTATGGATAATAGGAGTTCTATTTCTTGTGCTTCTTCTCTATCACCAACAAATAACAAAAGTCCTCCTATTCTCTCTCCTCCACTCTCTTTCATAACATGCAATATAGAATTAATGGAGGATGAGTAGTTTATGTTTGTTTTTGCTGGAGTCATAAATAGTATAAATGTGATGATCCTGGTGGACTTTGGCTTAGCAATTTCCTCTACTCAGTGTTTAATTGTTTGAAGTTTACTAATCATAAGTCATCAGCATAGATATTATGTATGGAAACACTGGTTGTCTATGCGTGGTGTGGGCATTTGGAGGAATCAAGAAGGATCTTTGATGCATTGCCGGCCAAGAACATCGCGTCATGGATGGCGCTCGTGAGCGTGTATGCCGAGAGTGGGCATCCGGGCGAGGCCAAGGCAGCATTCAATCGAATGGCGGTGCGGGATGTAGTTTCCTCCACTGCGATGGTCAAGGCGCTGGGCGATTGCGGGCGGATTGGATCGAGCAAGGCAGTGTTTGATGCGATGCCCGAGAGGAACTGCAAGATGTGGGCGATGCTGCTGCGGGGATTTGCTCGTGGCGGAGAGATTGGGCGAGCGAGAGAAGTGCTGGATCGGATGCCCAAGACGAATGTGGTAGCATGGACGATCCTCGTGCAGGGTTTTGCGCAGCACGGGCAAGTGGGCGATGCGAAGGCTGCGTTTGATTCCATGCCCGAGAAGAACAGAAAAACATGCTGATGGAGTTGCATGGGCAACGTTTCTTACCACGTGTAAAAACCACGGGGAGATGAATTGAGGGAGCTAGTCCAGCCTTGTGAATGATGCATTGCCTTATGTGATGCTGGAGAACATCTTCAGAGCAGTTCAGACTTGATGTGTTGACCCAAACATCGATCGTTGATATCCAGCCATTCCGTGAGCCGCCCCATCCCCCATGGATGGAGAGCGGGACGCACAGAGGATTGAGCATAGGAGAGTCTTCATGAGGAGCATAGTCTTCGAGGATAACATATGGAACACAGAGAGGAGAACATATGAAGCATGTCGGGAGGCAACGAATGTTAAGTGCAGTCAGCAATGCAAGATCCAATGCTGCTGTTGTGAATTTCAGCAGCAGCACTGCACTCCTCCTGCTCCACGTGCCATGCTAGGCGTGGCAATCCAGATTCTCAAGACCATGCCGGTGAGAGTGAGCCGTGGAAGTCTCTCATGAGCTCTTGTTGAAAGTGGGAAGTAGTGGTGTGGAAAGCTTGCGTTTGAGGCGCGGGTGGAGATGGGCTCATTGCAGTAAGGTGATAGCTCGTTCCCATTGTCTTCCTTTTGTATCCTATCTCCCTCCAGATGCATGGGACATCCGCTTGCAAAGCATTGCACAGCATGTTGCTGGAGCTGGGCCTCAGCCCATTCGTTGATGGCTAGCATTTACGAAGGCTTCACTGGATGTTGATACAGAGAATTAAGTTTAAAGACAATTGGCCCACTTTTATGATGGGCTTAATCTATGGTGACTGGATTGTTCTTTGCAAAGCATGTATGCAAGGCGATTTTACAAGGAAATTTATCAAATCTTCCGCAAAGTCAATGCCATAATCTGTCAAGAACCAAATCCTTGGAGAGCTTTAGGAATTAATATATGCATAATGAAGGATAGTTAAGTAATTTGATGATGAGAAGTTTGACATATGTCATCAAACATATTATCTAGCATAACAATCAGGGATGCTCAACATCCCAAACAATTCTCCCCATTGGAAATAAGAAATATCACAAGTGCCATTTCCTACTCATCTATTCCCTTTGAAAACTTTCTTTCTATTCTGCAGGGTGGAGTTTTATATATAATGTTGTTGTATAGAGCACTATTGCTTCTTCAATGGCAACTAGCACTTGTTCAATGTTTCATGACCAATCTATTCTCTTCTCTTCCAATATCATGGAATATAAGTATATGAAAATTTTCAAAACTAACATGTTGGAGTACAATCTTAATCATTCTTAAACTCTTAGGAATACTAGACTCAACTAGAGATATACTTCAGTTCCCTTTAATCTTCCAGTCTAGCATCATTCCAAATCCAGTATTGGTATTCAGATTAGAATAGTGCTAGCCTTTTGAGACAAGTATAATAGTTGTTTTGAATCATTAGGATCATCCTTTAGTGATTTTAATCTACATTGAGTTATAATTTAAATAGATTGCTACTTTGTCCTCTATGACATGCTAGATGGAGAAAAAGTGTTATATAAGCTCATATTTTTAATGCATCAAGTATTCTTTACAAATCAGATATTTATTTTAATAGCTTTTTTTCTGCAGGCTATTTGCAAAAGAACACCCACAAGGTGTATTACCTGTTTAGTATTTGCACACATATATTCTTTACTTTTCCACAATACCTATCTTTTATGGCTTCAGTTAAGTTATAGTCATTTACACCTTTGAGTATTTCTTCAATTTAGGCATTATATTTTTGGTTTGCTTAAGCAAACCAACATAGGATATACCTGGGTATTCTTGAATATTCTATAATTTAATTTTTGATATTTATTTAGAATAATTTTGTGTTTATAAATTTAAAACATTTTAATAATGGTCATCACGTTGACTACATGGCAAAAAGATGTTCTAATGTATTTTCAAAGCTTTTAAATCTGAGAAGTACTAGTTCAATGTTTGGACATGTGTTTGCGGGTGTGATTTTGTGGCGAGGAAGCAGGAGCAACAGGAGGTCCTCCAGACAAGCTAACTTCTCAAGTTTAACCAGCTGCCACCTCCATGCAAGGGTACTTTCCACGAGCTCAAAGGGTACAGGGCTAGCTCTTGATTTTTTTTGGTTGTTCTCTAGGCTCCAATCTGTTAGGAGTGATGCAAAGAGACTGTTATGATCAGGCCAGGGATTTCCAACCCAAAGCTATGTTTCTCATACCTGAAAAGAAATATACATATCCTCTTGTAGTTTCTCTTCTAAATAGAAGACAAGTGCCTGAGGTTGTACATATCGAAGTACAAACCAAAGAAGCAGATCAATGGATCTCCCCGCGACGCGTCAATCAGCAGTCGAACGAGCCGAGCAGCGCATTCTTGATCCTCTTCCAGTCGATCCACTTTCCTGTAACCAATGGTGCTACCGTTGCTCACCAGGTACCAGCCCAGCTCGCTGTCCCATGCCTCGACGTGATATTCCATGACCCTTTGTCCCATGTTTACTGGCTCTCGGATCTCCAGTGCGTTGAACTTTGAGACCTTGCCAAGATCAAGCTCGATCCAGCCGGTCGACTCCCCTTGCATTGGAGCCCAGAAAGTTTCCATACACTCGTCAAGGATTTGCTTCGGCCCAAACGAAGAGCTGCGAATGCTGCTTGCTGTCACGGACAAGGGATTCGCTGCTAAGTTGACGCTGAAGATGGAATCTACGGCGGAGCTAAACCGCTCCAGCGTCTGGAAGTCGGATTCGTCGATCAGTCCCGACGAGTTTGGAGGGACGTTGAGCAGGAGCAAGCAGTTCCTGGCGGATGATTTGTAGAAAACGTCGAGCAGCTGCTCCAGGGATTTTGGAGCCTCGTTCCTGTGCCAAAACCAACCGGGCCTGATGGAGATATCGCACTCCGGAGGGAGCCAGTCGGTTCCAGCACCAGACATCAAGTACCTGTTGATGTTGCGAATTGGATCGCCGGACGTGGCTTGGGCTCCTCCGGGCGCGGCTTGGACTCCTCCCGCTGTGGCTTCGGCTCCTCCCACCGAGGCTTGGCCTTCTCCTGGCGATGATCCATGGCCTCCTCCTCCCGGAGAAGAACCGCGGCGTCTACTCTAGGAGGAGTAGAACCATGGCCTCCTCCTCCCGGGGCACCCCCTCCTCGAGCCGCCTCAGAACCATGGCCTAATCCTCCCGGGGCCAGATTCAGAGATCCGCGGCCAACCCCGGCCACCCCGCGCCCTCCTCCCACTCCATGGCCACCTCTCCCTCCATGGGCACCTCTTCCTCCTCCTGTTGGTGAAGATAGAGCACGAGCAGGCCCAGATCCAGCTCGATCGGCCCCATTTCGCAGATGTTTCCTCTTCCAACCCTAAAATCGGGCCGTGCCGATCTTCTCGAATATTTCCGGAATAATTTTTAACAACTTCTTAGATTTGGTCGGGGTTTTTGAAAATTACTTAAGAATCCTCCCTTTTGTTTTCGTGCGAATCCAAAATACTAATAATTTTCCCATAAAAAATAGGGTAAGTACATTACTTTAGCTTAAGTTATTGTGCAAATAGGGAAAACGTAAATTTTGAACTTTAATTTTCGGGTAACTCTTACTCTTATAAACATCTCTAAACATGCTCATTTAATTAACCACCAATGAACGGCAAAGATATCTTTACCAGCACTAATTTTCTAAAAAATTAAAAGCAAAGAAGATATTATCAAACACAACTCAATCACACAATATTTGGAGCTGGAAGAATTGAATCCAACTTAATTTCAGCAAACTGATGAGGATGGACAATTTTTATTTTCATTTCTTTTGCACTTCTTAATTTACATTTCTTAATTTGTTTCTACTCTTCTTATACACACTTCTTCGGTGTATTTGGCCCATTATATTTAGCTGAAACACATGTACATGTACACTAGTACACTACGTACTAAGCCTATGATACACACTTGTTGCTAATTCTCAACGATTTGTGCATCTGCTGGTTGATACACACACACACACACACTGTGTAGGGCTAGCTCCATCCACAAGAGAGCCTGGGCACCAGAGGCTGGAAGAAGTCGTCACAGGAGAGAGCAAGCAGGTCACCACTCACGACAAGCTCAAAAAATCTGGAAGGAAGACGTCGCCGAGGAGCTGGTGAGTACATTGCAAGAAACAAATGCTGTCGTCACCAGCTTCCACACGTCTTTCAACGTGCTCTAGGAGCACAAACCCAAAGTTGGTCATGCCGCAAGCCGCCATCACCTTGCTCCCGGAACATGAGGCGGTACTTGCTATCAGCCTTCATACTAAGGCTTATTATCTGAATCTGGGTGCTCTGTTTTGGGGCACCTGTTGGCAGGTTTAGTCAGCATTCCCCGATTCTGCTACCAAAAAGAAATTTAAATTTAAGACAACCTCCTTTTGCATAGTTTTAACTTTTAAATGTTATTTTTTTCTCCGTGAAGTTCAGGTTGGCGGCGGTACTTTGACGAGGCATGCTCACTCAGCGCCCCATGTTTCTGCTTGACTCACGGAGGGTTTAAAACCAGGGATAACTGCAAGAAAGAGCACTGACATGTTTTCAAAAGTAGTTGTCACAGGAACATCTGCCATCCTGGAACACATGAACCCGACTGGCATCTTTGCAGATGATTAGCCTTTTTTCCAGCTTAGAGATGAGAGCAGTGGCCACATGGCAATCGTCACAAACTCGGAGATTTTTCACAATTCTGATGGTCTCCTTCTGGTGTGAGTTCACCAGAGCACACCCCAGCGCAAGCTTCTCACTGTGGCCGCACAGGTGATCCTCTTTCTCTTCCTTGGGTATGTCTTTTAGAACGTTGATCACATCGCTCGCGTACCCCTCCTCTTTCATTCTCAGCAACAATTGCTGGAGCTTGGCCGCAATCTCGTTGCTCTGTGAGTGACTCCTATCCCCGACAGAAAAAGAATGCACTTTTCCTGAGCTAACATCCGTCCACCAGCTTCTCCCGGGCTCCCTGAAGCTGCCTTCACCTCTCATTCTCTCCACAACAGCGGCCCTTTCACTGAGCATCCCCAGGTTTCCAAATATATTGGCCATCAATGCGTAGGGCGTGCCGCTCTTGGGATCCATCTCCACAAGACGCTCAAACGCGAGTTTGCCGATCGTGTAATTCTTCCACTTCCGGCAGGCTCCGAGCAGGGACGTCCAAACCACTGCATCCGGTTCAAAAGGCATGGCTCTGAGAACTCTCACAGCTTCGTCGAGGAGGTTAGCTCGCCCGAGCATATCGATCAGGCACACATAATGCTCCAGACGTGGCTTGACTCCATACTGCTTGGGCATTTCATCCAGAAGCTGCCTTCCTTTCCCGACCAGACCACCATGGCTGCAAGCGTTCAACACCGAAACAAAACTCACATCGTCAGCTTTACAGCCCTCCTCCTGAGTCATGGAATAGAAACGCTCCAAGGCCTCGATCGATCGGCCCTGGAGAGTGTAAGCCTGTATGAGAGAGTTCCAGAGAGCCGTGTCGTCCCGAGCTCGGCACTCGTCAAACGCTTCCTGAGCAGAATCAACATCGCCACATTTGCCGTAGAAGCTCACCAGGCTGGAGCCCAGAACTGGATTGTTTTTCAGCAGCCCTTTATGCTTCGCCAGCTGGTGAATCTCCCTCCCGAGCTTGATCGCCATCACACTCCCGCAAGCAACAAGGACACAGGTGTAGGTGCAAGCATCAGCTTGAATGGTGTTATCAGCTCTCAGGGCAGAGTAATACTCCAGAGCAAGTTCAGCTCGCCCGTTCGTGTTGCAGCCCTGGATGATCGCAGTGTAGGACACAACACTCCGAGTTCCCATGGAGTTGAAAATCTTGCGAGCCTCCTCAAGCTCGCCACACTTGCAATACATGTCTACCAGGCAATTCGCCACGAACAGATCTAGCTGTTTCTTCTCCTTGCTCAGCATTGAATGGATCTCCATCCCGATGCGTAGAGCTCTCTCCCTCTTCTCGCTGGATTCGGTAGCAAGTGTGGAGCAGGCACTGATCACCACGACATGAGTCCGATCGTCGGGTTGAATGGTGTTATCAGCTCTCAGGGCAGAGTAGTACTCCAGAGCAAGTTCAGCTCGCCCGTTCGTGTTGCACCCCTGGATGATCGCGGTGTAGGGCACAACACTCCGAGTTCCCATGGAGTGGAAAATCTTGCGAGCCTCCTCAAGCTCGCCACACTTGCAGTACATGTCTACCAGGCAATTCGCCACGAACAGATCTAGCTGTTTCTTCTCCTTGCTCAGCATTGAATGGATCTCCATCCCGATGCGTAGAGCTCTCTCCCTCTTCTCGCTGGATTCGGCAGCAAGTGTGGAGCAGGCGCTGATCACCACGACATGAGTCCGATCGTCGGGTTGAATGGTGTTATCAGCTCTCAGGGCAGAGTAGTACTCCAGAGCAAGTTCAGCTCGCCCGTTCGTGTTGCACCCCTGGATGATCGCGGTGTAGGACACAACACTCCGAGTTCCCATGGAGTGGAAAATCTTGCAAGCCTCCTCAAGCTCGCCACACTTGCAGTACATGTCTACCAGGCAAGTCGCCATGTACAGACCTAGATGTTTCTTCTCCTTGCTCAGTACTGAATGGACTTCCATCCCGATGCGTAGAGCTCTCTCCCTCTTCTCGCTGGATTCGGTAGCAAGTGTGGAGCAGGCGCTGATCACCGCAACATGTGTCCGATCGTTGGGTTGAATGGTGGTACAAGCTCTCAGGGCAGAGTAGTACTCCAGAGCAAGTTGAGCTCGCCCGTTCGTGTTGCACCCCTGGATGATCGCAGTGTAGGACACAACACTCCGAGTTCCCATGGAGTGGAAAATCTTGCGAGCCTCCTCAAGCTCGCCACACTTGCAGTACATGTCTACCAGGCAATTCGCCACGAACAGACCTAGATGTTTCTTCTCCTTGCTCAGTACTGAATGGACTTCCATCCCGATGCGTAGAGCTCTCTCCCTCTTCTCGCTGGCAGTAGCAAGTGTGGAGCAGGCGCTGATCACCGCGACATGTGTCCAATCGTCGGGTTGAATGGTGTTATCAGCTCTCAGGGCAGAGTAGTACTCCAGAGCAAGTTCAGCTCGCCCGTTCGAGCCGCAGCCGTGGATGATCGCGTTGTAGGACACAACACTCCGAGTTCCCATGGAGTGGAAAATCTTGCGAGCCTCCTCAAGCTCGCCACACTTGCAGTACATGTCTACCAGGCAAGTCGCCACGAACAGATCTAGCTGTTTCTTCTCCTTGCTCAGCATTGAATGGATCTCCATCCCGATGCGTAGAGCTCTCTCCCTCTTCTCGCTGGATTCGGTAGCAAGTCTGGAGCAGGCGCTGATCACCGCGACATGTGTCCGATCGTTGGGTTGAATGGTGGTACAAGCTCTCAGGGCAGAGTAGTACTCCAGAGCGAGTTCAGCTTGCCCGTTCGAGCCGCAGCCCTGGATGATCGCGTTGTAGGACACAACACTCCGGGTTCCCATGGAGTCGAAAATCTTGCGAGCCTCCTCAAGCTCGCCACACTTGCAGTACATATCGATCAATCCCGTCAACAAGTAGATGTTGCTTTTGTGCTCATCACTCTTGAGCACAGCTTCATGGGCTTGTTTTCCCAAAGAAAGGGATCTGCTCTCAGCTGAGTCTCTCACGCGGTGTATCAGCCTCCCTAAACTCACCGGTTCAGCTACAGGTGGGGTATGTGGAGATTTGTAGCGGGCCGTGGTGGCCTTACCTACAGCTGGGTCAGCGAGCGACTCGAGTTTTGCAGAGACCCAGGTTGGTGATTTCCTGTTGGCGATCCCTCTCTCCGGTAGAAACATGTTTGAAACTGCATGAGATTGTTGCACACACACCACACAAACCCTAGCGCCGCACGCATACCCTAGAAATCCCGATTTGTTAGTACTTAACTGTAGCAGTAAAAAGCTCGTGTTTTCCTGTTTTTTCTTTTTCTAATTCTTATCCTTTTTAAACTTTACAATGTCACAGCTTAACTGCAGCAGCTTAGATGTTTATTGTCTCTTTGATTGGGCAGTGACCTCCACCAAAGAGAAGGTCACCAGAGCCATAGCACACACCATCAAGACAATCATCAGTGCTCCATCAAGATTATAAATTGAGTGTGAAAGGGAATAAAAGTTACCAACTTAAACTTAATATATCGTAAAGTCAGGTATTTGTTTAACGTCCGCTTGGAGCAAACCCTGCTCATCGGATGGCCTCATGACAACCCATTACAACCCAGGATGAAAACTCCACATCAAAGCTTAAGGCAGCATCGCTTGTGATCGCCTTCATCTTGCTTTACAAACTGAAGTTATCGAGGTTCGTGATTGGATAA